TTCGATTCTACAGCATCACATAAACAGAAAAAGCTCAAGTGGCACTGTGGCTCAAGTGGTAGAGTATTAGCCTTGAGCTGAAGAGCTGAGGGACAGTACCCAGGCCTAGAGTTCAAGCCCTATGACCAACCCCCGCCCCCCCAAAAAAGTATAAATACACACATATACACATATATACACACATACATACACACATATAGATACCTATATGTGTATATAGTTTACATATTTCTAGCTTGGTGCCAATGGCTCACACCTGTAATCCTAACTACTCAGGAAGCTGAGATCTGAGGATCATGGTTCAAAGCCAGCCCGGGCAGGAAAGTCTGTGAGACTCTTATCTCCAACCCACAGCTTATTTAAATGTAAATGTAAGTCAATTGGAAATTAGAAATTCAATTCTTCTCTTGTCCTAGACACAAGAGCTGGCCCAGGGGCTGGGAAGGTGGCTCAGTGGTAGAGCGCTTGTCTTGCATGCATGAGGCCCTGGGTTCGATTCCTCAGCGCCACATAAACAAGAAGAAAAAAGCCAGAAGTGGCGCTGGTCTCAAGTGGTAGAGCGCTAGCCTTGAGCTGAAGAGCTGAGGGACAACGCCCAGGCCCAGAGTTCAGGCCCCATGACGGGACGCAAAAAAAAAAGAGCTGGCCCAAGGCTGTGATATTGGATGGCATGTATAGGTATTTCTATTATTACAGAAATGCATGTAAAGCATCAACTACTTTCTTATGGGATGGAGCTATTTTTCCCCATAATTAGCTCCTGCACTTGTCAGACAAGGGTTCAGCTTCCACCGTTACTGATCAGCCCTCATGAGCCCTCCCTCCTCCTACTTCCCCTTTCCTTCCTATGCATAGCCTTGTCTTTCAACATAGTTTCTTCTCAGGCTTTCCCACTTTCTTAGAAGACAATTTTAACTAACAAGGAGGAGACAACAAATGTATAGCAAATAACTGTAAAGAATATTCTCATGAGATGTGAAGGATCACATCTTGCTAAGGTTTTTTTTTTTTTTTTGGGAGGGGGGGGTCCAGTCGTGGGGCCTGAACTCTCAGCCTGGGCGCTGTCCCTCAGCTCTTCCGCTCAAGGCTAGCACTCTACCACTTGAGCCACAGTGTCACTTCTGGCTTTTTTCTTTTTGTTTATGTAGTGCTGAGGAATCGAACCCAGGGCCTCATGCATGCAAGGCAAGCGCTCTATCACTGAGCCACCTTCCCAGCCCCAAGGATCACATCTTATAGGCAGTCAGCTGTGTTGGACCCCAACACTCTTTGCCTCACATGCAAATTCCCTATATCAGGTTTTCTACTAGTAAAGTTTTTTTTTTTTTTTTTTTTTTTTTTGTGGGTCGTGGGGCTTGAACTCTGGGCCTGGGCGTTGTCTCTAAGCTCTTCAGCTCAAGGCGAGCGCTCTACCACTTGAGCTACAGCGCCACTTCCGGTTTTCTGGTAGTTTATTGGAGATAGGAGTCTCACGGTCTCTCCTGCCCGGGCTGGCTTTGAACCGCGATCCTCAGATCTCAGCCTCCTGAGTAGCTAGGATTACAGGCGTGAGCCACCAGCGCCCGGCTACTAGTAAAGTTTTTGCAAGTCACTAGAGTGACAAATATGGAAAGAGTAAGAGATCAGTCAAGGAGTATCTGAATAATTGTTTATATTCCATTCTGTTGAGGGGCATTTAGGCTGTTGAAGTGTTTTGCTATTAGTCAGTGCTGGTATGTTCATTCCAACATCACAGAGTTTCTCTTGGTGGTTTACATTAGAACAGCCTATTCTGTTTTGGACTATGTACATCTTCAACTCTACTACTTCACATTGATTCTTTCAATCACTAGCCCTATCCACAGTATATAAAAATCCCCATTTCTCTACCTCCCTCCCTGCTAAACAGAAGTGCTATTAAACTGAAAACTTTTTCTGCTAATCAGATATGTGTGACATGGCATTAAATTACCTGATTGATAGTAATATCAAACACCACCTTTTTTTTGGGTGGGGGGGGCCGGTTGTGGTGCCTGAACTCTGGGCATGGGCACTGTCCCTCAGCATTTCAGCTCAAGGTTAGCGCTTTACCACTTGAGCCACAACACGACTTCCGGCTTTTTTTCCCTGTTTATGTAGCGTTGAGGAATCAAACCCAGGGCTTCATGCATTCAAGTCAAGTGCTCTACCACTGAGCCACCTTCCCAGCCTCCCTCCCCTGCTTTTTTTTGTATGTGTGTGCCAGTACTGAGGCTTGAACTCTAGGTCTGGGTGCCATCTCTTAGCTTTTTCACTCAAAGCTAGCAGTCTACCACTAAAGCCCACTTCAGCTTCTAGTTTTTCTGCTGGTTAATTGGAAATAAGAGTCTTGGAGAGTTTTCTGCCTGGGCTGGCTTTGAATCACAATAGTCAGATCTTAGCTTCCTGAGTAGCTAGGATTACATGCAGGAGCTACCAGCTAGCTTCTGGCTGAGAGTGAACATCTTTCATTGGCTATACTTGCTTGCTTTTCTATGAAATTCCCATTTTGTCTTTTGCTTATTTTTTATTAGGTGGGTTTTTGTTATTGATGATGGGTTTTTTTGTTTTATTTTGGTGACAGGTCTACCTATATTGCCCAGGCTGGCTACAAACTCACAATCTTCCTGTCTCAGGGCTGGGATTAAAGACATGAGCCACCATGCTTTTTTAAAATTACATTTTTACTATCTTTATGTAATTGTACAAAACACTTACCATTCAACATGTCAGTTTAGCCACCATGCTTTTTCTTTTTCTTTTTTTTTTTTGGCTCCGGTCATGGGGCCTGAACTCTGGGCCTGGACGCTGTCCCTCAGCTCTTCAGCTCAAGGCTAGAGCTCTACCACTTGAGCCACAGCGCCACTTCTGGCTTTTTTCCTTTTTGCTTATGTGATGCTGGGGAATCGAACCCAGGGCCTCATGCATGCAAGGTAAGCACTACCACTGAGCCACCTTCCCAGCCCCACCATGCTTTTTCTTATTGATGTGTAGGAATTGTTTTTTATTGTGAAAATACCATACAGAGGAGTTACAATTACATGGGCAAGATAATGAGTACATTTCTTATCAAGCATGGTTGCCTCCTCCTTTGTTTCCCCTTCCTATCCCTTCTCATAGGAATTATTTTTTATACACTGAAAAATAATACTTTGTTATATGTTTTGCAATGATTTCTCATTCTATAATCTTTTGCTTTTGCTTTTGATTGAACAGAGTTGTTGGGGTTTTTTTGTTTTTTTGTTTTTGTTTTTTGGGGGTTTTTTTGGTTAGTCATGGGGCTGAACTCTGGGCCTGGGCGCTGTCCCTCAGCTCTTCAGTTCAAGGCTAGCGCTCTACCACTTGAACCACAGCGCCACTTCCGGCTTTTTTCTTTTTGCTTATGTGGTGCTGAGGAATTGAACCCAGGGCCTCAGGCATGCAAGGCAAGCACTTCTACCACTGAGCCACCTTCCCAGCCCATATTATTTTTTATACACTGAAAAATAATACTTTGTTATATGTTTTGCAATGATCTCTCACTCTATAATCTTTTGCCTTTGCTTTTGATTGAACAGAGTTGTTGGGAGTTTTTTTTTTTTTTTTGGCCAGTCATGGGGCCTGAACTCTGGGCCTGGGCGCTGTCCCTCAGCTCTTCAGTTCAAGGCTAGCGCTCTACCACTTGAGCCATAGCTCCACTTCTGGCTTTTTTCTGCTTATGTGGTGCTGAGGAATCGAACCCAGGGCCTCATGCATGCAAGGCAAACACTCTATCATTGAGCCACCTTCCCAACTACCAGAGTTGTTTTTGTTTTTTTTTAAATACTGAGTTTATCACTATTTTCCTGTGGCAGCAGAGGGGGCAAGTCCTTCAAGAAGGGTGAAAGTAAAGGGACCTCTGAGTAGTTCAGCCTAAGACTGTCCCCCGACCTTCCCCTGGTGGCGCCTCCCTCTTCCTCCGGGTCTCTGCTTAGTTGTCCCTTCCTCTGGGAAGCCTCCCTGGATCTCCAGCGTTCTCACTGTAATGTACCATCTCGTCCTTCATTTTTCCTTCTTAGTGAGTCCTACATGTGCAGTTGCAGTTTGTGTTAAGTTATGGGAATGTTTAACCAGCGTGCTGAGAGATGTCTGAGGAATATAGGTTGGTGAGGAGGGGTGTGTTCAGAGATGAGAACTTGGAGGTCACTGTCTACCAGCACGGGCTTAGAATATAACAGGAGAGAAGAGAAGGAAGGAGACTGACAATCAGAAGACCTGCTAACCTGGAGGAATATGTATTATAGGACATGCATTATGTCATCCAGATATTTACCATTCCTAACAGTGCCCCCAACTCCACCACTATCTTTAGTCTCAGGTCCCACTAGCTCTGTGACCTGAACACAAGCCCATGTCCCTTGGGCCTCAGTTTCCCAATCTGCAAAATGGATGGGTAGCACCAAGCTGTGAGCCCCCAGAAGCAGTGCACCACGTGGAAAATGCTGTAAAGCCACACCTCCAGTATACTTGGGCCCTGGAGTCAGACTGCCTAGCTCCAAATCTCAGGCCTCACACTTCCCAGCTGTGTGATCCTGGACAAAGCATTTCATTTCTCTGTGCCTCTGCTTCCCCATTTGTAACATAAGGGTCATGACACCCCTGGAATTACTCTGAGAATTACATAAGATAATGCATTAAAATAAAAACAGATAAAATGATTAGCACACGCCCAGCTTAATCCCTACCCTTCGCCATCTCAGAATTGTAAAAATACCACACTAATTCCAAGAGGGAAACTGAGGCCAGGGAAGGGAAGGAGTCTCAAGGGAATTGGGACTAGAATCCAGCGGTGGCTTCCAGTCCTGCCCTAGGATCCATGGGCCTGCAGCCTGCAGCCTCTTCCTCTCTCGTATCACCGCCTCCTGTCCCCCGGGGGAGGAGGGGGGCCGGGCAGCCAGCCCGGTCCTGCCTGGGCGGGACTCCAGCGCGGGTGCTAAGGCGACTCCTCCCGCCCTCCTGCCAGTTTGGTTCTCCCAGCTCCGGGCACTAGACACACTTGGGACCGCAGCCTAAGGGGACGCACGCGGCCCCTCACTCCACGCGGCCCCTCACTCCGTCACTCCTGTACTCAGTTTGCTGGTTCCTCTTCCAGCTGCGCCCATGCAGAGCAGGTGAGGGAAGTGCGCACCCGCGCACCCGCGGCAGGGATTCAAGGGACTGGGGTGCCGGGCCCAGGCGTGGGGTACAGAGTCCTCTAGTCCCCTCCAGACCCATGGAGGGTCCTGGTGACATTCCCGATGGTGACTCCCAGGAAGGTGTGGGCGACGTGGACGGTGGATGCGATTACTGTGAGAGATGGGGTAGTGGTGTGTGCCAGCGTGCCAGTGCGCCACGTGCGGCCAAGGGATTGTGGATTGTGCTTGTCTGCAAGCGTGTGTGTGTGGGGGTACTTATCTATACAGCGGGGAGTGACTTTGCCAGGGTGACCCAGGGTTCTACACACAGGAACCCGTGGTAGTATGGGGCGCTGCCTGTGTGTTGTTCCATGGTGAGGTGTGGGGCTTGTGCGGCTCATCTGTGGTCCCTGTGTTGCACTGAGCGAGATGATGGAGGTGAGGAGCATGTGTGCAGCAGAGCTGCCACAGAAAGCTGCCAGGACCCAGGATGGCTCTCACCTTCCACCCAGCAGCTTTGAGGGCTTGGGTGAGCTCAAGTTGGATCTGGGTGGAGAAAATATAACCAGAGAGCCCAGGCATAGTACTCTCTCTCTCTCTCCCCCCCCCCCTCTCTCACACAGACACACACACATGTGCATCCCAGAGAAGCCTTTCTGAAGACTCTATTATTTTGTATGCATGTGTTCCAGTACTAGGACATAAATTCAGGGTCTTGGACTTTCACTTGCCTTTCTTGTTCATAACTAGCACTCTACCACTTGAGTCACACCTCCAGTCTAGCATTTTGCTGGTTAAGTAGAGACATAATCTTAAGGTCTTTTCTTCCATGGCTGGCTTCCATCCTCAGATCTCAGCCTCCAGAGTAGCTAGGATATGCAGGCATGAACCATCTGAGTCTGATTTGGAGTTTCAGTATTTTTTTTGGGGGGGGGGAGTCCAGTCATAGGGCCTGAACTCTGGGCCTGGGCGCTGTCCCTCAACTCTTCAGCTCAAGGCTAGCGCTGTACCACTTGAGCCACAGCGTCACTTCCGGCTTTTTTTCTTTTTGCCTATGTGGTGCTAAGGAATAGAACCCAGGGCCTCATGCATGCAAGGCAAACGCTCTACCACTGAGCCACCTTCCCAGCCCAGTCTTTTTTTTTTTTTTTTTAATCTTCAGGATTCCCCGTGGCTTTCACATTCCTCTCTGTAATATTTTTGCATTTTATTTACATGCAAAAATATTGCTGTGGTAAATTACCATCCAGTGCGTAGACTCAAGGCCTAGTGGTACACTGATCTATCTTGTGTTATAGGGACCCCTGCCAGTCCCTCAAACTGAGTTGCAGAGAATAGAATTCCCTAGCACATGGCTGCATGGCTAGGTGGACACTGTGTTGCTTAGTGACAGACAGTCAGAGAAGAGGCAAGAGAGCTGGGCTTCTGAAGAGGACCCCTGACTGTCAATAAGGTGCTCATCTCTACTAGACTTCAAGTATCCCAGGGGACTAGGGAAGGGGCTGCCATCACTGGCTGCCATCCAGGATGGTCAAGGTGGCTGTGACATCCTAGTGTGGTTCAGACCCCGCTCTGGTACTTCCCAGGGCTGGGAGTGAAGAAGTCCCTCTGTGTCTCAGTTCCTTCCTTTGTAGAATGGGCATGTCAAAGGATTTACCTTAGAGGGTTATGATGACTTCCTGGGCTTGGCGGTCTCTGGCATGTAAAAATTATTTAACTGTGGGGAGAGTGAGGGAGAGCCTACATGGATGTGGGTCCCTTACACCTTAGGACCTCATTTCTCACAGAGCTGGCAAGTGGAAATCTGAGAGCCTCCCACTGGGCTACCTGTCCCAAGAAATGTGTCACTATTGCATTCTCAGTGGCTCTGTGACAACTGGAAGGATGAAGTTGGACAGGGAAAATGGTAAGTCTCCAGCAAAGCCAGGGTGGAGCGTGGGAGAGCAATGAGGGGGGAATGCAGGGCAGCCTGGGCCTTGGAGGGGGGGTGCTATTTGTCCTGATAACCATCAAGGGGACACACGTGGGCACGCATGTGTGTGTGCATACACACGCACACGTGCACACACACACACACACTTGAACCACACTTGGGTTTATGAACTGTCAAAGGCTAGGGCTGGGATCTCTCTGCTTGAATGAGGAACGTCAAGATGAGCAAGATGTGAAATGTTTGGTCTCTGGACCAAGAAGTCCCAGGAGGGCAAGAGAGAACTTGGAGTTGAGCTGCAGGCCCAAGAAGGCAGGAGACCCCTCAGGCTAAGCTTTGTTTCTGAGGTTTCAATGTTTGTGTTGGCAGAGCAAAAGCCCCTATTCCTGGTGACTTTATTGGGTCAGTTTAGCGAAGGTGCCTGGAGGCCTCAGAGGACAAGGGGACATAAAAGGCAGTACTGGAGCTGTGGAAACAGTGGAGGGGAGGGTGCCTAAATATATCTCTATATATTTCCTATGGCAGCGTGCTGTGATGGGGAGAGGGAGGCTTGGTGGAGCAGGGTCTACCATTGTCCTTGCTGTCCATTGTCACTAGGCAAGAGTGCTTCTGCCCTCTGAGGCTCTGAACGCTGCTTGTTGAGTCTGAAGGATGGAGGATGAATTCCTACAGGCCAGAAAGGGTCTTGCCCAGGCCTGACACACTAACTTCTTTGGTATTGGCTATTAAGAAGGGAGAATCAAGTAACGGCGTCATTCCCAGCCCTGATTTCTTTTGATCTACAATTCTGGTCATAATTGTTTATGACTCTAGTACTGGCCCTAAAACTCTCCAGCAAGTCAAACATTCTAAAAGTCTATAATCCAAAGTCCAATCTTCTACTGTAGTCCAACTGCAACATTCCCTCATTTCTGCCCAAATGCTCAAGGATTTGGACCCTGACTTTGGCAACCTGATCCCTTCAAGTTTATAAACTACTAAGGAAGATATAATTGGCAGAATTATTTGAGGAGTTTCAGGAAAGGTCCTTTCACCTTCAGCCAGACTGGGGTAAAACAAAGTCCCTGGAAAAAATGGCTATGTGCTCCAGGGGTAGTGACACTGAGCGCACTCCTCCTGTGAAGAAGTACAGGTGGTTACAGTAGCTGGTGGGTCTCAGGGAAGAGTTGGCCCCAGAAAGGAAAAGGTTCAAATCCTAGAATATAGGCACCTCTCAAGATAAGGGAATAGTAGGGTCCTGGTTACCTACAAGTATTATTGAGAGGAAGCTTTTTCCCCCAATTTAAAAAATTATCTTTAAGTAGTTGTACAAAGGGTTTCAATTCAACCTGTCAGTTCATGAGTACAATGTATCTTGATCAGTGCTACCCTTTCCATCATTCTCCCCGCTCTCTCCCAATATTAAGAGGAAACTTGAACCTTTTTTTGGTGATACTGGAGTTTGAACTCAGGAACTTGTGCTTGCGAGGCGAGTGCTCTTGCCATTTGAGCCATGCATCAAGAGGAAAGAGAAAGAACAAGAAACAGTATTGAAAAGACCTTGAAAGGCAAGCCACATTCTAAGACACCCTCCTCTTAAGACAGGCAGCTGTAAGTGCAGGCAGACTTGAATTTAACCAGGGCTATAGCCAGCTTTAAGAACATGATTTTGAATATACCCCTTCCTTTCTCTCGACCCCACTTTCCTTACCCAGAAAACCGATATGCAGGACCAAAATGGCTTGCCCGCTTCTCCCACACTGAGGAATTCAGGAGTGCAGTGATTGCCTGGTCCACAGACCATAGCAGAATGAGTGACTAGTGAGTGAATGAATGATCTGATGAGTAGAGGTGAAGATACTACAAATCGAGTAATGATTATGATCTTCCTCCTCACCCCTCTCCAGACTCAACATGAGAAGTTGATCTCAGAACTAAAAGCCTAGAGGGCTTATCCTCTGGGACAGCCCAGGACTGATGTAGACTTTACATGGAGGCAGGAACTCTCTGTGCATTACCTCCCACCCAGCACCACTTAGGCCAACCAGCCCAGCCCTGAATAGGAAGGAGCTATAGCTTCAGGGGAAGCTGGGGTGGCAGGAAGGAGCCCCCAAAGGTGATAAAGGGGTTGATATGGGGTGACATGGGAGTGACCCACATTTAAGCAGGCATTAGGATGGATGAGAAGCACTCGTTTATCAGGCCTCCAAAGAGGGAAGCTGTGCTGTGCTCAGTCCTCCTTGTGTGTTTTCTGTCCTCACAGCCACTAAGGCAGGAGGGCACATCTAAGTTTCTTCCTTTATTTCCTCCGTTTAGTTACCAAATCCCACTGTACCTTCCCCTCCTCCCTCCAATATCTCTCCACTAGGCCCTTGGTCTCCACTCCTGGAATCTCAGCCCAGCTCTGGAATCCTCCTTAGCCTCCTCTTCTCCCCTTAAGGGCTTCCCCAGTACTGACCTGTCTGCTCTCTTCCTTCCTCACAGCCATCCCATGGCTCCCGGTTACTCTGGGGAAGCTTCATCTCTCCAATTCCCAAGTGTCCAGGGCACATCCAGGAGACCCTGGTCAACCTCTCCAGCCACTTATGGCTCTGGATCCATGCATACCTTACTCTTGCTCTTTCCTTCCTTCTTCTCTGCCTCTTAGCAGGAATGGTACCCCCAGCCCTGGCCCTTATGACCCTTGTGAGCTTGGTTATGCTGTAGGCACAGCTCAGGCCCCTCCCAGACATATCAGAAATCCCTGGGGTTCCTGTGTATCACAGGTATCTTCCCTCAGCCCTGTGAGGGAGTCACAGCTGTCTCCCCACCACCTCTTTTCACTGTGGCTCCGCCTCCATTTCCCTGAACATGGTTGATCTTGGCCTTACCAGAGGGTTGGAGAGCAAGGACAACATACAAGCTCACGAGAGGCAAAATCAGTTTTAATGAGGGGCTTCACCCACACACACACCCAGGGGCACTATTCTGCCCATTCTCTAGTTCTTCCCTGAACTCCTACTAACTTCCAGGTTGAAGGTTCCCCTTCATCACCCCATCTCCCTATATCATCATCCCTGGGGAGTCTCATCACCCTATCATCCCTGTCCCAGTGCCCAGCACCTCAGCCAGAAGGAGGAAAGCACAATGCCCTCGTACCATCCACAACAGCTAGTTCCGAAGAAGACAGCCTTGCACCTCTGCAAAACACCTGACTCTGCTGTCCTCATTCCACGGAGGCAAGGCCAAAAGATGATGTCTCCTCCACAGTGCTCTGCTCCCCAAGGGAGTGAAACACAAAGGCCAAAGCAGGCTTGGCGAAGATAGCATTTTCATCATGTTCTTGAGAGTGTTCTTAGGCTCAGTCAAAGCTTCTAGCCCATCTCTCTCTCTCTCTTTCTCTCTCTCTCTCTCTTTTTCACACACACACACACACACGTGCACGCACACATGCGCGTGCACACATGCATCATGTGCACGGCCCTAATGGTGTATCGCTTGTGTGTGGGATCTATACAGGAGGCTCTGAAAGATCATTAGCCTTGTTCTTTTCTGGTGCCCTGTGGTGGTCTCTTTGCTTGTGTCTCTCTTATCTTGAGTGGGAGCCCCTGGAATGCCAGAATCACAACATAGTTTTAACCTGTTATATGTGTCCATGTCTTCAGTGTAGTCTGAACACAGTTGGTGCTTGTTAATGCTTTCTGATCTGGATTGCCCCACCCCCCTGCTCACTACACAGGGAAGATCAATCAGGATTATCCCTGTGATTGGATCCATTCCTCAGGCAAATATTTGCCCCCTTCTTATCATAGAGAGAGAGCCATAAATCCTTCCTCTGCTCTTTTTTAGTTGGCTTCTAAGAGGCTTAGTCATCATCTTAGTCTTGGTTTTTGCACCTGTTTGTATTTATTTATTTCCTGCCCTTTCCCTAATAAGATCATGTGACATATTCAGCCATTATCTGAGCTGTCCAGTCCCTTGTGGACTGAGGTGTAAATTCTCAAGAAATCAATAGGAAAAGCCCAGTATTTCCTAAATTCCAGGGGTTCCACTTGCTTCTTGGATTTTCTCTGCTATCTCTTCTGCCACATTGTGTAGACATGGAGAAACTGCCTGCTACACCAGGCCGTGTACTGATTTAAAGTACTGAGTTCAAATCCTGATTTTGGTACTATTGGTTGTAAGAATATCAACAAGTTTCTTAACCACTAGGAGCCTTGATTCTCATTTGTAATATGGGATAACAGATGTACCTATCTTAGATGATGTAGGATGATAAGTTGAGCTAATCTTAGTGTTCAGAACAAACAGCTCCAGGGTCATGGTGAGAACTGTGCAAATGTTTGCCATGTGTAGGACCCACATTAATAGGCTGGGGCCCTCCCCAGCCAATCACTGGGAAGGTTTAATATCTGATCTCCTCAAACTCGGGTGAGTGCAGAAAATGTTGGAGATCTGATCAGCAGGTCAGGGTGGGGCTCTCAAACACTTCCACTTCCATGTGATGTCAGTGCTCCAGGTGCAGAGTTCACACCTCAGTCCCTCTGAAAGGTTAAGTGGGGCTGGGCCAGGAGTGGAGGAGCCAGCCTGGTCTCCTTGCTGCCATGTCTTTGCCATGAGCAGAACTGGCAATGAGAACCTAGGTTCTCTTATCACCAGCACCCAGAAGACCCCAGCATGGGGTGAAGGGATGGAGGGTTGAGGCTTGAGGATGTGGACAGGACCCTCTGCCTGGAAATGGCCCTGATCCTGCTAGGACTCCTACTAGCCCATCTTATGCCCTTTCGGAGCCACTAGTCTGAAGCCACATTTTGAGTTTGTGGCAACTGGGCCTTGCAGCTGATTGTGTACAATGGAGGCTATACTCCCAACAGGACTTCTACCTGCTTTGAGTATCCTGGGCTGTGTAAGATGAGAGGAAGTGGAGGGGTGGGGCAGGCAACAAACTGCCAGATGGGAACACTCCTAACTTCTCTGGGAAGCAGCAGGAGGCCTGGCATTTGTCTAAGGATTCTGCT